CCCCGGCAGCAGGGGCTGGGGGACGCCGGGGCCCTCGCCCAGGGCCGTGGGGTGCCGGGGCCCCACCTGGCTTCGCTGACTAGCGCACCGATGAATCCCTCCGCCTCGAAGCGCGTGAGGAGGGGAGACCTTGTGGAGCTGAATAGCCGAATTGCTACCAAGAGGTTTCTGAAGGAGCTGTGCTGTTTTCATAAATATATATGTATATATATTTAATCCCATCAGACCCTACATGCCAGAACCCGTGTTTCCGGAGGCATCCCCAATCCCTCTTCTCCTGGGAAATGCGCCATCACTGACTGCTGAAGGGATGCAGGCTGAGATGCGTATTGGCCATACGGACAGGTAGGAGATAAACGGGAAGAAGTAAAATGGAGATGTTCTGTCTCTCTGCCCTGAGGGAAGTCAGAGGGGCTGGGGGAGGGCTCGGAAGCTTCCATAGCCCCTGCACTGCCCTTCAGGGATGACCACTTGCTCTTGGATGCTCCCGAAGGAGCATCCCTTTCTTGTTCTGCATCCTTCAGGGTTATTCCCTGTGGTCCATGCATCATCTCTTTGCTAGTCCTCTGCTCTTCAGGGGGAGAAGCACAGCTCCAAGTGGTGTAGGGCCAGAGAAAACCAAGGTGTTGCCAGGCTCAGAGATAAACATGCTCCAATAACCTTGCAATACTGCCCCTGAGCAAGACAGCTCCCCTCCTTTGCTTCAGGTTATTTCTCCTGAGATTGCCTGCCAGCTCCAAGTGATCAGGGGACTGTGCAGGTGCAAAGGGCAGCTGTGGCGGGGTTGGCCCAGAACAGCAAGCAAAGTCATTACCTCGTGGTCATACTCTTCAGACAGCTATTGATCTGTGCTACCCATAAAACCTTTTCCATTCATCTCTGTACTGAAAATGCCTGTGCAGGTGAACAACCAGGAAAACAACTTAAATGGGGAGAACTTGCACCTGGCTATGTTTCAGAGTGTATTGGTAAATCAGCAATAATTTAGAGCATTGCTAAGAGGTTTATATATGCTATTGAAATCACCAGAAAAGCCTTCAGTAAAAGGGAGCTCAGACTTTTGCTACTGTGCCCAAAGTAAATGTGACTGTTTCCGCTGGCAGGTGCCGTCTCAGCTTATGACTTTCTTATCTGTCCCCTCCCTGTCAGGTAGCCTATGCCATTCTCAGCACTTCACATGTTGTCCTGTGAAACCTTTGTGATCTTGCCATGTTCCGTTTATTCCTGATAACACCATGGCAGAAGAAAGTGAGGGCATCTTGGAGAGACCTAGAGGAAATCAGGGTGAACTGGCTATAAAGACCTGACCCAGAGACGGGTCAAGAATTTTCTTCACACAACTAAATCAATGTTGTTTCCCAGAGCAATAATCCAGGGTCTAAATTTCAGCTCTCTGCTAGGCATATGGAGCATCTTGAATGGAAGTCTCGAGTTTTCTTTGGTGAATTCTCCAATTAGTTTATAGCTACCTGTAATATAGAAGAAAACAATGGCACTAATGCTGATGCTTTTGTAATAAATAAGAAATGTGCCAAATTTAGACAATTATTCTGCTTTCATCCCTGCATGAAGCTTCTATCTACACAAAGAAACAAGAAGAAGAAAAAAAGAAGTACTTTGAGGAAGAACAAAGATGTTTACCCTGACAGATTGTCACAATCTTCCCAGTACAACAAAACTTCACATATTGCTTTATCAGAAGATCAGATCAAAAAAAGCATATAGTCAAATAAAAGGTGCTTCAAATCGTTGTACTGCTTAGGCCAAGAACTAGCTACTTGTGATTTTTAATCATTTTAAAAATAAAACACATTCAGTAATCACATTTGTTACACAGTAGTACTTTCATCATTGGATTTTGGTAACATGAGAATAGATATCTTAATTTACAATCACTAGAAAATCTCTCTATAAAAATATAACCACAGGGCTGTGCAGCTGTTATATGTAGATTAAACTATATATGTGTGTATGACATATCACTTACACTACCCAGACATTGTTGCATGGCAAGATTCAGGGTATTCTAGCCTCATTAACAGTGCTCATATGCTGTAATGGCACCTACCGCTGGCAAAGGATGAGTCACATCCTGCCATATGCCCACATCTTCAAAAAGTTCTTCCTGAAGTCAGTAGGATTCTTGCCTAAATCACAGAGCAAGGTCAGGCTTTAAGTTATCTAGGAATTACACAGGCTCAGACTCATTTCCTCCAGAATCCTAATTGCCTGATTAAAGCTCTCAGCTGGGAGGCTGGAAATCTGTGTTCTGTTCCCTTATCTACTGCACAGCCTGTGATGAAGGCAAGGAGAGGCATACCTCTTAGCTGCAGCTTCCGTGCACCACCTGCACCAAGGATAGGTGCATGCAGTTGTTAACTAGGTTTGAAAATCAGTGTTTCTGTTTCCCCAGTGCAAAGCTGATGAGAATACTTAGCAGCTGGGTTTCTGCAGTTCCTCCACCCTGAGTCTGCAAGGTGATTTAACACTATTGTCGCTGGCTGGAAAGCAAAAGGTAATGATTCTCCCATTACATTCACAGCAAATTAGGAGTTACTCAACTAGAAGGAAAAAGATAGACCTACAGAGGAGAAAGTCTGTTAAAGGAATAGACTTCTTCAGAGAATGCCTGGGACATATATCAGGCTGAAAGCTCAGTAACATTTCACTGGAACTCTTAGTTCACAAATAGGAAAGGCTGTTGAATGAACTGCTGTTAAAAAACCTGCTGCCTCTGGAGAAAATGTTATCAAAAATCAAAGTCTCAGAAAAAGAAGGTAGAAGATATATATATTTTTTTGGTCCAGCCTAACCTCTGCATTTCAGACACTTGCACTGATGAAAGGAGTTTGGTATCTTTGGCTGACTTGAACGGTATGTGAAATCTTCCATTTTTCAGAGCGTTTGTCTCCTTTAGATCACTTGAAATGATCAGAGGAGGAAGGCTGTGAATCTGTGAAGGGAACTGGGAATTTAGCTGTGAACTTCATTATTTCGAGTTTAAACAGCTGAGAACAGCTTCAGCTGACCTCAAGTCTTCTGTTTAGCTTTGGTTTTCCATCATGCATGTAGAATAGTGGGAATACTTGGAAGAGCCCTCGAGCAGCTGTCCTGCCAAACAGGGAGAAGTGCTGTAAGATGATCAGGTACCAGCTACGGGCTGGTCCCAATGTCCTACTAGTGAAATAATGTCAAAGCACTCTCCACGCTTTTCTTAAAGGGTGTGCCAGTGCTGTTGCTTTTCCCTCATTCCTTCTACAGGCAAGTAAACCTAAAGGCAGAAGCCTGTGTATACTCAAATCTTGCATTTTTTAACTGTATTTGTATATTTAAAGCACCACAGTTCTCTCTACATTTAGTACAAGCTATTCCCCTACCATAGTGATTATTCTGAAGTAAACTATTCCCCTAAGAGAAGGGAAACATGTACGATGGTGCAAGTTGTAGTAACATCCAATCTGTAAAACTGTCCAGTAACCTTGGAGAAGAAAATGATCTTTGCAAAAGGGTAACCACAGGTAGCGTGGAGAAGCACTGGTGAATGTCTGCATTTAGGAGATAAGCTCTAACGTGGGCTGGAAACGACCTAGCAAAAGGAGCAAAAAAGCCTCTTTTATCGCAAGAGATGTCCATCCATGCTGGGCTGCCAGAGCACGTTAAGGAATGACTCAGAGGAAGCTGGGTTTGGTTCCTATAATTTTCACTTCCATTCCTCTGCTCTGAGCAAACCTGACACCAAGGTCTTTAAAAGACCTGGGCTGAGGTTCAGAATAAGCCCACAGTACAATGGAGCAGCTCTAAGGAACCTCCCTTTAAACAGTACCAGACACCCCCACACGGGAGAAAATAAATTTGAATTACCCTTGCAAAGGAACTGTTCTAGATTCTGGTGCACTGCAATATCTCTTATATCCAGCCTCAGGGTGTAGAAAGAGGAGAATGGGAGAAGAAAGTTAGATCTAGAGAACAAACCCACAAACAGCTGTTTTACACCCTGAAACATACTGGTATAGGAA